TTTTTTTTTTTTTTTGGTTATTTTCCAGTGGCTTGGATGGTTATTCGATGATGACATATGAATTTTGATGAAGTTCGAGAGATGCTTTTGAGCTTTATTTATATTTTTCTTATTCATGATATGTAAAAAAAAAAAAAGAAAAACAGATATTTGAATATCATATTTTTGTGATGAAATAATATTTTATTGAATTTTTTAAATACATATTTTAATTACTTGAAAGGGGGCACCATTTAAAATCTCGCCCATGGCACAAAAAATCTCAGGGCTAGCTCTGTAGACCACTTCTCGATTCTTGAAAAGTAAAATTTTCACGAGATGAATTTTTGCTCACGGATTGAGGCCTAACATATCTGGGGCGTGAATAGTGGGTTTGGGTCGTTTTACTTGGAGTCAACATTGCGGGAGTATTTTATTTAAAGAGTAATGGAATTGGTGTAAAGTGTAAACTCCGGATGATCAGCAATGTGACGTTAAATTATAAAATCAATAAATAAAATAGGTCTCAATTTGGACATATAAAAAAAAGTACATATTGGACACAAAAAGTCAATTAATAAATATTTTCCATCTTATTATGGTCCGATATCTAATACCATGCATGAAGAATAACATGTTAATATAATTTACCAAAACACTTTCTTCAGTATAAAATTATCCAAATGAAGCTTGACTTGTTGAAGAAGACTTGGTGTATGGTCCAGATTAAGTCAAATTCCCACATAAACATCTATCAAAGTCAAATTAACAATCTATAGGTCCAAGGTTCTCAATTAAAATATCTATTGTAACTCTTAAGTATGTTTGGCTGATGTTTATAATTTGTTTAAAAGTAATTAAATTATTTTTTGTTCACATATTTTGTAAGATTCACAAATATTTTTCATTTATCTATCATTTATTTATAAATTAAATTGTTCAAAATATGAACACAACCACTAGTGCATCTGAAACTTCTAATGTACATTGTTCAAAACGTAGAATTAAGCTCCTTGTACATAGTAAATGTACATGTATTTTTATAAATGTACATGTGGCAACACTGAATTGATTAATTTAATTGTATTTTTTTTTCAACATTTAATTAAATCTTGACAACTGACTATTTGTCAACAAAATTGTCGATCAACCCTGTATACGTAGCAGGATTGTAAAACGTAAGACAAATGCCAAGAAAATTTAATTTTCCATCTCAAAAGTCAAAAAATCAAACCCCTTAAACGCGTTAGGGTACGTACGTGGAAATTCTCACATCCATGTTTGTTCATGCAGAAATTTCAACAATGGTGTTCCTCACCCTCACCCCCACCCCACACCATCCTCCCCCTTCCATCTAACTATATATATATACACACACATGTATCTATATTCCAAATTATTATTTTCTTTGAACTCTTCTCAAAGAAGTATCTAAACGAGCAAAAAATATCTCATTTTAGCTCAACAATGATGGAAAATAAGCCAGGAGCAGTAGGAAGGGCCTACACTTCACCACAGGTGAATCCTTACGGCCGAGTAGACGAAGAGGTGGTGACGGTGGCGGAAAGGGAGCTCCGCCGCAAGAAACGGCTCAAATGTTTCATGTACGTCGCTGCCTTCGTCGTGTTCCAAACCGGAATCATTCTAATCTTTGCACTCACTGTAATGAAAGTGAGAACTCCCAAATTTCGAGTCCGATCTGCTTCTTTCGACACTGAAACTTTTAACATAACAACGTCAAACACGAATCCCTCCTTCCACATTAAAATGTTCGCTGAACTTGGCATCAAAAATCCTAATTTCGGTCGCTACAAGTATCAGGACAGCTCGATTGAATTCTACTACATGAACATAAAAGTTGGAGAGGCATCCATTCCAAGAGCAAGAGCAAAAGCTCGGTCGACGAGGAAATTTAACGTTACAGTGGAATTTTCTTCTGTAAATGTTCCGAGAACTCTCGCAGCAGAATTTGCAGGTAGTACAGTTATTTCATTGAGAAGCCAGTCTAGATTGAGAGGAAAAGTGGAGCTTATGAAGATTATGAAGAAGAACAAATCCACTAACATGAGTTGCACCATGGAAATCAATACTTCTTCAAGGCAGCTGAGGAATTTGTCTTGCAGATGAGCTTGTTTGATCCAGACATGATACCTATGTATGTTATTAGTTCCAGTTCTTTGTATTTCACGACAGTTGTGTGTTTTACAATAAATATGATGAAAATATTTTACATTATTCTTATTCACGCGTGTTTTTTCATTATAGAACGAATTCTCGATTTAAAATTTCATCAATTGTCAATAACTTTGCTCTAACTTTTATTAATAGATACCTGTTTTAAAATATTAAGCGGTTAGATAAAAAATGAATTACTTGTTTATTTATATTTCTAACATTCGTCTTTTAAAAAAAACTAAGTTACTTGTGATTTGAACACAAATTCATTTAATACTACTTTTTGAAAAACCATTAATGTAAGAGATCGAATTATTGTAAAATAGAAAAACTATTTAGCCTTTACTTGGTTTACTAAAAAAGTAGATAAAAATTTAAATCAAAGTCAACAATTGATTTTAGTTATATATTTCGTGGAATCCACATTTGTTATCAACTTGTTATTCATACATTTCATCAATTTTTATAAAAATTTATTTAAAATTCGATTTTCAACAAAATCAAACAGGGCTTAATTATATTTATATAACTTAGTGCTGGTTTGTCTCCCATTTTGAGAGAAGAAATAGAGTTTTGAATAATATTTTTTGGAGGACGTGCGGTTGAAAAGTAAAATAATTTTATTGGTTTGTGTGTAGAATATTTTATTGAGTGAATATGTGGTGGAAATTGTTTAATGTAACAAGCAAACAATATTTAATAAAATGAATGACAAGCAGGGGCTTAATATTATTAACTAAAGTCAGTTATTTGGCACGGCGTCAAAGTTGAGGCAAGTACCAATAATAGAATTTTACTTTTCAAAGTAAAATTTTAACTTCAAGTACACATTTCGTGGGACTCACTTATACTATCACTAATTAATCAATCACTGATTTATATCACATTATAACTTTAGCAACTTATAATTTTATCCAAACACTTTGCAAGTTCATTACAAAATTAATCTTATGCCCTGTATTTTACACTAAATTATGCATTTTATCTATAAATTTTTTCATAAGCTAGTCATGTAATCTTGTACTATATGAGACTCTGAGAGAATGAAACTAACATAGTTAGATAATGAACTTAAATACCCAAATGGCGACCCTTTCATCTTCACAATTTTCCCTATTTATCGAGCCAACGTCTTTTGACATTTAAAGATTTTAGTTCAGTTGTGATTGCATATTCATGCAACTCTCTGTTATTTCACAATAAATAGATTATGAGCACATTGGTCCCCCATCTTCTTCTCAGCCCCAACTAAGGTGATTGCTAAAAATGAAATAGTAAAATCACTTCCGTAATCATAATGATCGCTTTATGTGGTCAATAGTGCATCACAAATTGATCCATGATATTTTCAATTGTCAATTCTCGGTCTGCATCAAATTTTTTAGATTTTCGATTTAGTTCCCAAACTTTTACAATTATCCTTCTTTAGACCCTTTTGGTCGAATTTGACTTCTTTTCTTCATTAGCTTTTAACGTCGAATTTACCTGTTAAACTTTGATCCAAAGTCTATTGAGTATTTGTGGATTTGTTGACTTGGACTTTGAATAAGTCAAAATATAGACTAAGGAGGAAAAGACGCCGCATTGCCGCTAGCTTTGTTAGATTTGGAACGATAGAATTATGATATAATCGATTTGGGAAAAATCTGGAATTGTATTCAATCACATTCCAATTGATTTTTAATAGTACAATAAGCTGTCCATATTTATACAGCAAATTGGAATCATTTCCTAACTAATTCACTAACAAATCTACATG